TGATTCGGCTTTCCTCCTGCAGTCGGCATCATAGTGTGTGTTTTGTGAGATGGAGGAGGACTTTGTGGATTGGTGTCAGACATATGGGTTAATGTTGGACTTGTGGGCTTGGGCAGCACTAGGGTGGGATGTTTTCTTGATGTGCATTAACTTTTATATAAAACTCTCTCTTTTCCATGAGTTTCTGTGGATTTGTTTCTCTAACGTGACCAGACTCACACACTCCCCTAACCTTCCTCACCTGCCACTCTGCATTGGCTGATATCCATCCTTCCTGGGCTCACTGGTATGTAGTCAAAACCTGCTCCCTTGTGAGAGCCCTAGCCAGCAAGGGGCTGCAATATCCCACTGAGGCTCGGGGGGTGGTGGTGGTGGTGCACCATCTTCTAAGCGGCTTGGCATGGACGCTTCCCACCCTGAGTGTGCCCTCTGCAGTGGGTCCTCAGGCCCCTCTGACAAGACCACTCCCTACCCCTCTCATCCTCATCCTCCTTGGATGGCACCCCTGGAGGCCCTCATCCGCGTCACACGGACGACGAGAAGAGGTCCCGGATGTTGGATGGTGGAGAAGGACTCCTTGATGGCCAGCACTGCCCTGAGGGGAGGCGCTTACCTTGAAGTGAATGAGCTCAGGCTTGCTGTTGAAGGGGCGACCTTTGAACTCACGCCCAGACACCACCTGCTTGTGTATCACCCCACTCCGCAGCTGCTCCATGGTGCGGGCCAGGATGTCCTTGTCCATCTTGGTCCCACCTACGGGCTTCCGGTCCACATCGTCCTTAGGCACCTGGTTCACAGAGAGAGGTGTGGCTCGGTGGCTGCAGCTTGGACTGTGGCCTTTCTGTGGGATCCGCAGGGGCAGTTTGGAGGTGGCAGAGTGGAGCGGATGCAGAACCAAAGCCCTCCAGATGCCAGAGAAGCAGGAGAGAGGTCATGGTCCCGGTCAAGACCCGTAAGAAGCCCCCGCCTGAGTTTCTGGTCCACAACCATGGGGAAGAAAAGGAAAAGCCAAAGGCATGGAAAACCCAGATGTCCTGGATTCAGGCCGACTTCTGGGAAGGAGAAGGCAGCGGAAGGGACTTTCCTAACTTCTGAAATCAAGCCAAGATAGATAATAAGACTAATGGATCTGAACAGAGAAACGCCCTCCCCCGCCCCCAAATAAAATGAAGCACCTCCAGACACCTAATTTTTGATAAAGTTACTAAAGCACATTAACTGGGGGACGGTGTTTACAACAAACAGGGTCGGAAAAACTGGATCTCCACTTTGACAGAATGAAACAGGACCCCTACCTCACACCGTGTGCGGAAACGAACTCAACATGGATGGCAGACTTACACATCAACCCTAGGGCTGTACGATCGTCCATGAGAAAATGGAGGCAAATTGGAGGGCCCACCATGGAATGTCATGAAAAACACCCACACTACGGCAGACACAATAAATTTCCTCAAAACACACCGTTTCTGTACATTTACAAGACAAACCAGCTCACTGGCATCACGTCGGTGCCAGCTCATAGTGACCCTGTAGGGCAGGGGAGGGCCGCTCCTGCCAGTCTCCAAGACTGTGCCTCTTCCTGGGGGTGGAAAGCCCGGTCTTTCTCCCAAGGAGCTGCTGGTGGTTTCGAAATTCAGATCTGGTGGATTGCAGCCCAATAAGTAACCGCTATACCACCAGGGCTTCTCTGTGTAGGTGGGGGGGGAAAACTTCATCAAAAGAGTACCATGAGAACCCACAGAATGGGGAAAACACTTTTGGGGGCAACGATACATTGTGTGAAGAGTGACCCTTGAAAGTCAGTAGCAAACAGTTGCATCTCCATAAGAAAAACACATCGGAATCCCAAGGGAGCAGGAGACACGCACAGCCGAGGCACTAAAGATGACACCCACGCAGCCAGCCATCCTATGAAGAAGTGCTCACGATCACTAACGCTAAGAGAAATATAAATCAAAACAAGGATGAGCTACCACCTCACACCGGCCCTGATCGTAAAATTAAACAAAACAAATCCCCAAATCCGGAAAATAACAGACGCTGGGGAGGATGTGGAGAAATCACCATTCTCCTAGACTGCTTGGGAGAGGGCAGGCTGGAGAGCCACCGTGGAAAACCCACCGAGATTGGGTAAATGGAGGCCTGCAATTTCTCTGCTCGGTAGATACCCCAAAGAAATGAACAAAATAGGGACAAAGTGCTGCTCACCCATCTACACACTATCTGGGCGCCACCTACAATAGCCACAAGATGAAGGTCACTCCAAATCTGACCGTACTCTGTCCGGTAGGTACACCCAGTCGAGTACTACACATCTCTCAAACAAAACAAAACAAAACGAAGCTGCCATGCCCCGGGGCGAATCTGGAAGCCTTTGTGCTGCTCCGCAGAGACAGTCCATCCCAGAAAGACACACACCGCACGGCTGCTACTGCAGACGGAGAAGAAGAAAAAAACAAGCCATAAGAGAAATGGTTTTCACACGAAAAGAAACAGACTTTAAACGATGGTGAGGTCAGGGTGGAAGGGGTGTGGGACGGGGAGGGAGAAAGAGGGAAGGGGAAAATAGGAAAAGAAAATCAATGCCATTCACGATCTTTGCAAAAAAGAAAAGGAAGAAAAATCAAAAGTTTCCAGGAAGTTTTACAGGAAGCATGGTTTCCTCAGGGGCCATGTCAGCCCAGTTTAGAGAAGAGGGTGGCAGGACAGCGGCCTGTATGAAGTGGGTGGGGGGTGGGCGGCACAACATAGACACTGAGTCTGGCCTGCATTGGGTCTGCAGGACTGGGAGGATGGTGGGAGACCAAGAGCCAATGAGAAGCCACACCCAAAGGTGTTCAACTTGGTGGGGCCCGGGGATGAGGGCCGTCACCTGGTATGGCTTGTAGTCTTCATCCCAGAGTCCCGGGATTTCTGGTTTGGCCAGCGTCTCCTCCTCCGGCTTGGCGTAGACCCCGAGCTCACTCTGCATGGATTCACTGGAGATGGTTTGCAGGAGCGGGTGGACTTTAGGGAACAGCACCGAATACTCGGCATTCTACAATCAGGGGTAGAGAGGCCTGACCTGTGGCTGTTGGCCTTGCCAGGAGCTCCTGCAGTCCCTGGGCCCTCTCTGGGCCTGCCTGGGAAGGCTGGGCTGCCCTGCCTGTTCTGAAAGGACCCCGTACTCCAGGGAGAGGCTGAGAGCCATCTGGTCCCTGCAGGGGTGCTGCCTTCTGTGCTTCCAGTCCCTTTACCCTTGAGATGCTGGCATGCACTGGGACTGTGTGCTGCTCAAAATAGAAATCAAAGCGTCCATGCACCGTTCAACATGCCCCACTGGCCTCACAAGAGCCCATCAGGCAGTCTGTCTCTGCCTGCAGAATGTTCTCATCTACACCGCGCTGTGGCCTCTGCAGCGGCTGTCAGCTCTCTGACCTGGGCTTCCTTCCTCCGCTCGTCTGTAGACAGGGAGACTCTGCCAGGCCACAGAAGAAGCGGGAACACTGATGTGTCTGTAGACACGCCTCCCTCCCAGAGGGACAGACACACAGAGGGGGGATATGGAGGGGAGGACAGTGCCTCTGGGGCCTTGGCATCATGGTGGATGGGCAGGGGAGACTTGCTGGTGACAGTCAAGTGTGGCACTAAGGACAGAGGGGCTGGTGGGGGCCTCCGGGCAGGGGACAAGTCTTGAGCAGGCAGGGACCTGGGAGAAAGGAACTATGCTTGGGAAGGGCATCAGCAGCCAAGTGAGGCCCCTGGGGGTGAGGTGAGGAAGCCGAGGCTGGGCTTTGCCATCCACTGTCTGCTGGAGCCCATGACCTTGATTTGTAGGGGTGGGTGCTCCCTCAGGGCTTCAGAGAGGTGAGCGGGCTATGAATAAACTAGCTCTCCCTCCATGCCCTGCACCCGTTGACAGCGTGCACAGGGCAGGACCATGGCACCCAGGAAGGAGGGATGGAAGAGGGTGGGGGGAAATGGGGAGGGAGAGAGGGAGGGTAGGTGTGCATGACCTAAGGGGCTTACAACTCCTCCCACTAAGCTGACCTTGGCTCCTGCCTGGTCCTGCTACAGGGAGTCAGGTAATGGCAAGGGCTTCTGGAGACTGCTTGGGGTGGGGGTGGGGGCATGGGCTGGGGAGCATACCTTGGTGGGGTCCTGTGGGGACATCAGGGCTGCGGGTGCCGATGAGTGGGGCCGGCTGGCAGGCTGCTGTGGAAGAGCGGTGTGGGTGAGCCCTGAGCTGGCACCAGAAAGCCCAGCTCCAAGCAGATGCTGACACAATCTGCTGTGGTCCCCCAGAAGGGACTGTGGGGCACCTCTAGCCGGGAAGTTTGCTTGACCCTGAGAAGACTGCTGGGGGAGTGGTAATGTGCAAACAAATACGCGAGCAGAGACCAACATTAGGATTGATTTCGCTGCCACCAATTTAATGCGACCCTATAGGGCATGGTAAAGCTGCCCGGTGAGTGGCTAGATTGTAACTCTTTGTGGGAGTGGAAAACCCCATCTTTTTTCCCCAGAGGATCAGCTGGTGGTTTTGAACTGCTGCCCTTTCAGATCGCAGCCCAACATACGCCCTTTGTCCTGCAAGCGCATGCAAACCACTCCAGCAGTCCAGAGCTGGGCTTTAGGGTTCATTGGGTGACATGGCTGACGGCTGTGTGTGTCGGCCGGCAGTAGGGGGCGCCCTGGGACAGGGCTGGGGAGGAGCGGGCGGTGGCCTGGGCAGCTGTGCTTGGGAATGGCTTTCTCCGACTTTGAATGTACTTCTCAGACCCCGAGACGTGAAGGAGGGCTGAGCTGGAGGCCTCTGCGGTCTCGGGGTTCAGGGAGATCCCATAGTTGAGGGGCCAGGGCTGTGGGGCCCCAGCCTCTGGCTGCTCAGGGAGGGTTGTGTCTGATGGGAAGAGCCCGTTGCTCTGTCGCTTAACGCCGGGATGACCCTGCTGGGCAGGGTGCGCGCTGCGGAACAGGCAGCCTTTGCTGAAGCTGAGGACTCTGGAGGAATTTCATGAGCAGTAAGACACCCAACACTGCTGGAGGCAGTCCTCAAGGAGGGGCTGAGGGGGGCAGAGTTGGGGGGGGCGCATCTCTGTGTGATGGCAACAGGAACAACTTGGTGACCGGAGGAAGTGGACCTGGGGGCGAGACTGGGCCATTTCTTCTGTTTTCCTTTTGGTCAGGAGGTTTATACTATGATTTGGACAGGTATATATGTCCAGATATATGTGGGTGAGGATCAGAAAGTGTGGGGACCCTCTTGCTCACGTGCGGGTGTGAGGGGGCTGTGGTGGCCATGCCATCAATGAAGTCAGCCACATAACACCAGGTCTTGTCCCTCAGCGTGCGTTGACCTGTGGCCTGAGCAGGGGCCGGTGGCTTCCTCCTCCTGTTCTCGACCTCCTCCTTCCAAAGTCGGTTCATAATCTCCAGCCTCCGCTGCTTCTGCTCCTCCTCCGAGGCCCTGGGGGAGGACGCTGCCTCAGTGGTGAGCAGGGTACATGCTGCTTGGCTGAGGGACCGGCTCGGCTCTCCCACCCCCTCCTCACCTCGGGCTCTGGGGCAGGAACTATGACACCCAGGTGAGCCCCACGCTCCAATGAGGGCAGGCTGAGGAACTGGGAGGCCGCCAGGCTGAACATCAGGCCCCAGGGCCTATCCTGGCTTGGCCACCTGGAGTAGGGCAGCTAGGTGGCCATGACAAACCTGTCCCTCAGGGGCTGCCCCTACCCCAGACTGAGGCGCACGGAGGGCAGAAGCAGGGCTGAGGCTGCTCACTCACTCACTCACTCGCTCATTCACTTACTCATTCACTCACTCACTCATTCACTCACTCACTCATTCGCTCACTCACATTCATTCACTCACTCACTCATTTATTCACTCACTCATTCATTCACTCACTCACTCACTCACTCATTTACTCATTCACTCACTCACTCACTCATGTACTCACTCATTCACTCACTCACTTGCTCACCCACTCACTCATTCATTCCCTCACTCACTCATTTCCTTGCTCATTCCAGCTCCCCCTTTCTGGGGGCCTCCCATGTTTGGGCTTGTGTCAGGCTAAGGGTGTCAAGGGTGTCAGAGCTACCTCAGGCCCCCTCAAGGTGGGCAGACAGGCAGGTGTCTGCAGTGTGGGCATACCTGTGGGCACATTTGCCACCAGGGAAAAGCACTCCAAATAGAAGCAGCTCTGGGTAAAAGGTGGGAAGGGGATGGGAGGGGACACACACGGGGCCTCATGGAAACCCTGTGTGAATGACCCCAATTCTGAAAGCCCTCTTCTGGGCACTGGACAGTGTGGCAGCAGGGTCTGGGCATGGAAGGGGGGTTGGTCAGGTTGAGTCCAGGGCTGAGATGAGGCCCTGGTCCCCAAGTGAGAGCCCAGGAAGAGTGAGTCTCCTGTCTCCTTCCACACCGCATCTTGCCCCTTCACCGTTTCTGAGCCTCCAGCTCCTGGCGCCGGCGCTGATGGAAAAGCTGCTTGAAGGCATCCCCGCCTTGGGCCAGGATGGCCTCCTTCTCTGCCTGGGTCTTCTGCTTGGCCAGCTCAGCCCGGGCCTGACCCCATGCCTGGAACTTCCGGAGTGTCTCCTGGGACATGAGAAGACCGTGGTCTCATTGTTGGCCTAGGCACCAACATACACAAGGGCACACAGGTACATGTGCACACATGCACACACCTGCACAGGTACACACACTCTCCTTCGAACAACAACACAACGCCAAACCCACGGCCATCGAGTCCTGGCTGGCCCATAGTGACCCTGCAGGGCGGAGGAGAACTGCCTCTGTGGGCTTCTGAGACTGCAGCTTCATGGGAGTGGAAAGCCCAGTCTTCCTCCCTCTGAGCCGCCGGTGATTTCAAACTGCTGACCTCATGGTAAGCCGCCCAACGCATAACCACTACACCACGACGTCTCTGTTCCTTCGATTGATTCTGACATCGTAGATGCCTGCGGTGGACTGTGTGTGAAAACCGTCGTCGCTCCTGGCCCATGGCCACCCCTGCGTTCTGCACCTCTGCCGGAGCCCAGCCCCAGCTCTGACCCTGCAGGGCCTCCCCTCCCCACCTGGTCCCGAGCGGCGCGGCAAGCTCGGCCCCGCCCACTCCCATCGCCCCGCCCCTCGCTGGTCCACAGCGCAGCCAAGCTCCTCTCCGGTCTTGGCATCTTAGTAGATGGCCCCTTCTCTTCCCACACAAGGCCCGTCCCCTGATCTGGAGCTCCTGGGTGTCTGATCTTAGAGGATGTAAGGCTGGGCCCCAGGAGGGCGGAGCTGCGCCATTCTCTAGGAGCGTCAGGATGGGGGGGCTCGGGGAATCCCGGGGGGCTGGGCGTACCCGGTTGGCGGTGATGCTGTTCTTCAGCGCCAGCACGGCGTCCATGCGCCTCTTCAGGTGTTCCCGGGACTCCGTCTCCGCCTTCTGCTCCTGCTCCCGGATTCTGCAGGAAGGGAGCTGCTCTCACCAGGCAGGCCCTGGGCCATGCTGGTGGGACGGTCATTCCAGAGTGGCCAGGGCCCTTGGATGCTGCTGTCACCAGCCTTATGGCCACAGAAAAGATCGAATAAGAAAACACCGGGACTGAACACCGGTGTGCAAGGAACGGCTCAAACACGCTTAGTGGTTCCCAAAGGGGGCCATTCCGCCCCTGGCGGGGCGCTGGAACGATGGGGCTGGGGGCTGCGGGAGGCTGCCTGTCTGTCTGGGGGCTGCGGGGAGGCTCCCTGTCTGTCATGGCCCTCTTCTGAGAGTACACAGGTAAGCAGCTTAGCTCCAGCGCCTTGGCCTTCACGCTCCTCAGTAAGGTGGGAGTCGTGTGGGGTGGAAGGGCTAAAGCAGGGGGGCCCCCAACACGTGGACAGGGATGGGGAAGGCCGCACCTGCCCAGAGAGGCCTTCAGGAACTTGATGGCGATCCTGTGGCTCTTCTGGGCATCTTCCACGAGCTTCTGGTGCCGGATTCCGAGCTCCTTCTGGGAGAGCGTGGACTTGCTGCGGGGATGAGGAAGAGGTCCAAACAAGAAGTCGCGTGGGAGCGGTGGCCCACCTGGTGGTGGGCCAGAAAGAGCGCCCCAAGAACCTCTGGCTAAGTGCAGCCAGAGGCAGACGCCTGCTCACTCCTTGGCTGCCATCTGTGCTCATGCCGAGGGCTGGGGGCTAGGGGGACAGGGCTGGGCCTGGGCGGAGCTTATACCATATGACCAGTCACCACTGGGGGGCTGAAGGGCTGAGGGACCTGGACTGACACAGTGGCCTGGGAAAGGGAAGAGCAGGACACTCGGGAGGGGCAGTGCTCTCGAGGAGGAGCAGGGGTGGGGATGGGGGTGGGGCTAGGTCAGTCTCTGGAGGGACCAAGGGAGCCTGGTGAGGTGTCCATGCCTGGGGTTGGCCAAACATGGAGAGGCTGAAAGCTCTGGGTGGTCAGGTGACTGGATGAAGTGGGGACATGGAAACAGACATGGATGGGGGTGGGGTAGGGGCACATGTGTGCGGTGGAGCTGGGGGCTGTGGTACAGAGTAGAGGGGTGTATCAGTGGCTGGGGATAAATCATCTTAGATGGGTTCGCTAGCCACTGGGTGTCAAAAACATCTGGTCTGGTTAAACTTGGACAGGAACTATCCCAGAAGAATGAGAGGACCAGGGGGACTGAGCCCTCAGTTCCTCAGGGTTGATTGGCAAAGAGGGACCAACAGAGGAGGAGCAGCCAGAGAGGTGCCGGAAGCTTAGAGAGCAGCCCAGTGCGGGCAGGGAGGGGAGTGTCCAGGAGAGAGACAGGGCCAAAGGGATGACCTGGCTTCTGGGACTCCAGGTGGCTGTTGACTGCCAAGACTTTTCAGGGAGGGGCAGTGCCACACCAGAGTCGCGGGGACTCAGGCTGGAGTGTGGCTGGCCTGTGAGGGAGTAGAGGGCAGGTGGGCTTGGGCCAGCTGGTCTAGGGGGAAGGAGATTGGGAGTGTTGAATGCTGGGGCAGACAGAGGCTGGAGACCCCCAGGGGGTGGGTGGGGAGTGGGGAGGCAGAGAGAGCCGGGAAGGTGCTGGCAGACTGCCCCAGAGGACTGACAGTGAGGCCAGCACAGGGCAGTGGACACTGGGGCCCCACACACCGGTTCCTCAGCAGCTGGCTCCTCTTGGCCTTCCGGAGGGTCGCCTTCTCCTCTTTGAGCCTCTGGGCTGCTCGCTCCTGGAGGCGCCTCCTTTCAGCCTCCTCCTCTTCCTCCAGGGCCTTGCGGGAGGCCCCCAGCTGCCCTTCCAGGATCTCGATGTGCCACATGGATTTCCTTGCAAGCAAGAGGTGCATGTTACTCATGTGGACAAAAGGCTGGGCCAGAAGTTCAGAATTTGGCGGTGGGAACGTGGGGCTGGGTGGTCAGTGGCCCATCCATCCAGGGGCCAGAAGGTGGTGGTAGTAGGGCTGAGCAAACGCCTAGGGGCCCCTGAGCCCCACTGGCTGGTCAGCCCCCTCCTCCACCCACAGTTCCAACACCACTTGGGTTCTGCCTGGCTCTTCCACCTCCCTTGCAGCTGTGGTCAGTCTCCTCTGGCCCTGTCTGCCAGGCTGTCTGGGACAGACCCACCAACCTGTGGCTCATTTGCTGCCTGGCTTGAGGACAGCACTTGAGAATGTGAACTGTGGCCACCTTCTGCTGGCCCACAGATCATGAGCTGAGATCCAAGACCTCATCTTCTAACATGCCCTGTGTGTCTGTCCTGAGGTACCTGTCACAAGTCAGGGATGTTCCCGGTTAACGCTCAGCCCGTGCGAGCCCACTGGTAGAGCACCGTGCTCAGCTGACAGTGCTCCTTCTGAGGACAGAATGGGCTGGCATCGCACATGCCTGGTAGCACCCCTTCCAACAAGACACTTCCAGCTATGCAGGAATTCCTACCAGCTGGCAGGTAAGCGTTGGACTGTTCACCGCAGGGTAGGAAGTTCAAACCTACCTGCGGTTCCAAGGGAGAAAGGTGAGGCTGACTGTTTGAGATTGACAGCCTCAGAACCCATCTGTGAGGTCATTAATAAGAGTCAGAATCAACCCAATGGCAGAGAATCGGTGTCTTTTGGCGGGTGGTGCTAGTCACCATCCCCAGATGAGCCCACTCCCAGTGGCAGCTGAGAACTTGGCCAGAGCTGATCCTATGAAGGTGTGAACCCCCAGCCAGGCTGGCATAGACCTTCTGAAGGCCCCTCCGCTTCCTTTCCCGCAGGAAATGTCTCAAAAGTCATTCGGTGGAGAGTTTGCTGGAGACTTTGACTTGTTAGGGAAGAGCCTTCGAGGGGCAGTGGTTTAGTGCTCGGTCAGAAGTTTGAACCCACCTGTGGCACCTTGGGAGAAATACGTGTCTGCCCCTGGGAAGATCAGATAGAGCATTGACCCTGGCCCTCAGAGGACCTTCAAGCCTGGAATTGAACTTCCATCCAATCGACAGACCAGCCTGCCTATAAGATGTCCACTGCCACCAGGGCAGTCCTTGATCATAGAAAACTGGGCCCTTTGAGATCAAAGGGGCGACATCCACCCAGGGAAAAAGCTGAAGGCAGGACGGGACAGGGAGGAAGGCTGGTTGGAAATGGTAAGCGCGCGGAGGGGGAGGAGGACGTGTGCTGTCACACCGTGGGGACTGTAGTCAGTGTCACAAAAGACATGAAATGTGTATGAATTGTTGAGTAGAAAACCCATTCAAATCATAATACTCGCATGCCGTGTGTGTGTGTGTGTGTGTGTGTTTTGGAAACCCTGTGGGGCAGTTCTACTCTGTCCTAGAGGGATGATAGCTCACTGCCATTGAGTCACTACTGACTCATAGTGACCCCTGTGGGTTTCTGAGACTGTAACTACTTATAGGAGTAGAAAACCCAGTCTTTCTCCCTTGGAGAGCTGTTGGTGGTTTAGAACTGCCAACCGTACAGGTCACAGCCCAACGCACAACCACTACGCCATAGGAGTCAGAATCAACTCGATGGCAATGGGCTAACGGGCTGTTGTTGATATACCATCGAGTTGTTAAGAGACCATAGGGTCTCTTTTGGTTCATATGTGACTTGTGTGACAGAGAACTGCCCCCTAGAGCAGCGGTTCTCAACCTGTGGGTCGTGACCCCTCTGGGGGTTGGAAGACCCTTTTACAGGGGTCGCCAGATTCATCACAGTATCAAAATGACAGTGATGCAGTAACAACGAGAACAACGTGATGGTTGGGGGTCCCCACCACATGAGGACCTGTATGAAAGCGTGTCAGCATTAGGAAGGTGGAGCACCACTGCCCCCCAGTGTCCTCGGCTGGCATCTTGAAGGGAGCTGAACCCCACCTTTCTCCCATGGGCTACCGCTCCCCACCTTCTGTCAGTAGCTGAGCACTTAACTGAGGTGCCACCAGGATACTTTCGAGGTGTTTCGTAAGCATTCCTGATCAGGTAAAGGACATCTATTTCCACTTGGTCAACAACAACAACAAACCTTTTTTAAGGGAAGCATTTTGCATAGGGGACATTGAGTGTGTGGCAGTAGTGGTGAATGGTGTGGCAAGGGTGCAGGAGGGTGACACACTGTGAAGAATACAACCGATGACTTTGAATGACACACTAGAAACTGTGGGGCTGGTGCATGTTCCGCTATGTCCACAATATGATTGAGAACCGTTTTAAAACCTCTCCTAAAAATAACCCCCTGCATACATGGTGTGGGTCGTGGGTCTTGTCGTGTAACGTGTGAGGTTGAGCTTCTGTGGGTGCCTCAGGTATAAACCCCAACCTGGCGTCAAGGTGTGCCCATGTCGGATGCACGGCGAAGCTCTGATGGCAGATACTTCATTAAGGGCTATCTGCACGTCGCAATGGAGGTTGGCCTGGAAGTTCTCTCGCTTGTCCTGCTTGGTTTTGTCCTTGTTTGCCATCAAGCTTTTATTTTGAAGAACAGGGCCTCTGTGGCTCTTGGTGGGGAGAGTCTGAAATAACTGACTCTATTTCTCGGGCCTGTGGGCTGCGAAGCGCCTTCCCTGCCGCGGCGTTTCCATCTCTTCCTGAGTCGGTCGGCCTCCGTGCACGTCCGGAGTGGGACGATCTGTATTCGCCCTGCTCTTGACTCGCGGTGCTTCTTCCAAGTGAGCATTTGTGCGCCCTTCATCCTGGAAATTCTTAGCCACTACTTAATTGACTGGTGCTCCCTCCCCCCATTCTCTGGTCTCGCAAGTGGCTCACCGACAAGGGCAGGGGAGTGAACAGCTGATGAGGACTCTGGGGCAGGCAGGCGGCACTGCTTGGATCCTGAGAGGGTAGGGATGGGGACATCCGTATGGATTTAGACAAGGCTGAGTCCCCCGAGCCTCTCGTTCCCCTGAACTTCCCTTGCCGGTGGAGATGGCTTTTTCTTTCCTTCCATTCAATATGGTTGGCCCTCCTTGTCCTGGAGTCCGTGACCCATCTGAGGCCCTGTGACCTCTCACCTGAAGCCCTGTGACCCTTCACATGAACCTGTGGCTGCCCTCTGAGGGGAACCTAGTTCTCCTTGGGCCTCTCCTAGCCACGTCTCACTGCCACCGAGCCCAGCCTTCTACACCAAGGGGCCACGCACACAGTCTGACCTGACAGGAGGCTTCCGGACAAGATGGATGCAGCAAACATGTCTCGGGGACAGAGGAGTGTTCTTGGAGCCCACCTGTGCAGCCTGGCCAGCAGCTCCGGCCTTGCAGGCTGACTGGCTCACCTTAGGGTCAGCCAGAGAGGCTGGGACATACCTGGGGGTGCTTACCTGCCACCCTGGAGCCCTGGCTCACTACTCAAGCAGCGAGTGTGGTTCTCCTGGCCTCCTCAGCAGACTCAACAGAAACGAATGCTGCGTGAAGCCGAGATACCAGACATTCCTTGGCCTCCCGTAGAAAAAGGAATGGAAATATTTTATATGATAACATGCCGGGGAGGTCTTATCTGCTATCTGTTTGCGCAAGACTTAATTGTATCCAGTGAGGATTCAGGGGGACCTTGGTTGACCGAGGCTTTGGAATACCAAGGGGCTGCGAAAAAGCTCCTGGAAAAATTCCATTAGTTTTCAGCTCCATTTTCCCACGAACTTTTTGAAGCCCCCTTGTCTTCTGGGAGGGAGTGCTCCAGGCCCTGCTGGAAAAGCACTGCTGAGGCCGGGATGCAGGTGGGAGAAGCTGCCGTGGAAGGAGGATCCCTGTTTTACTGGGACAGTGGTGCTGGGGAGGCGGACTTCACTTGCGGAGCTGGTGGTCTGATACCATGGCACCAGGGTGGACAGCGGGCATGGGGTCTCTGCACAGACCACCCAGCAGGGACTTCTGGCCCACGGCACAGCCCGTCAGCTTGTCCTACGGGAAGTGATACCATTGGTGTTTCAGAAACTCGCAGGGTCAGCCATGCTGGACAGCTTCCCCATGTAAACAAACCAGGGCAAAAGGCCTGGTGATGTACCTTTCCTGGAGCTCAACAGCGAGATCGCTGTGGATCACAGCAGAAGATCCCCTAAGTCGATGTCATTATGGGTGGGGATCGGTTGTTAAGAGGAGCCAACATGTTTGGTGAAGCAGACGGTTGGCGAGGCCTCTGTTGAGAAGAATTGGCGCGGTGGCCACCAGGGCGGATGGAGTCCAACATGCCGTTGATTGCGTTCCAATCGCCAAGACCGACCCAGGCGTCTTTGCAGGTTCAGCAATCCCAGGTAGAGACGTTAGTGGAATTGGCCCATGTCTGCATCACTAGCTTTAGTGGCCGGTGCATTTTTGAGTCACAGCTGTCTTGGCTGTCCTGGTTGATGATGGATGCCGTACCATTCCTCTCGGTCTGTTATTCCTGGTATGGCAGACCGCAGGATGTTTCCGTTGGCCCTGACTCCCCGTGATCCCGTGCAGAAGAGAATGAAATGCTGCAGGGCTCTGCACCGCCTCACACCGTGACGGTCTCTGCATCCACTGTTGCACGTGTGGCGTCGATCCATCTCCCTAAGGCTCCCCCACTTCCCCCCAGACCCTCCTCTGCTTTACCAAGCGTGATGCCTTTCCCCCAGAGATTGGTCCCTCCCCATGACGTTTCCAAATCAGGGAGACAATCTCAAACCCAAACACTCTGCCATCGAGTTGATGCTGACTCAGAGCAGCCCTTGACAGGGCTCACCCCATTATCAATCCTGAGGAGAGCAGATAGCCTCCTCTTTCTCTCTCAGCCTGGCTGGCGGGTTTGAACTATCATCCTTGTGGTCAGCAGTCTGACGCTTACCTGGCAGCACCACCGGGGATCCAGAAGTGAGGTGAAGCTAAGTTGAAATTGCTTCAAACTTAAACAAAAGCTTTTAAAAAAAATCATAGCAACCCCCCCAAAAGCAGCACCCCGGGGATTTCACAGCTTGGTCCAGAGCCTGATGAGTCTTCCGCTCTGAGCGCAGACCGGAAAGTGGGGGTTTCAGCCCACCTCGGGCCAGGGCTCAAAACAAGGGCTGCAGCAAGTTCCCACCATGCCTTCCCTGTGGTCGCAGATAGCTGCATACGGGACACTCAGTGCTCTTCCTGGCTCCCGCTAACCCCTCTTTTTCATAGAGGGCGGTGGCGGCCTTCGCCATTAGTCTGAGGGCCATAGGGTTTCAGGTTGGAGGAAGAATGAACTGGAGTTGAGTCAGAAACGGGGACGTGTTGCTCTCAGAGGGGGCCGGTGGGGGACTGTCCATTTTGATTCGCAGCAGGATCAGCTGGGGTGGGTGTGGCCCGGCTCCGTTGGGGGTGGGGGGCAGGGGATGGGTTCTGGGACAGCAGAGCCTGGAGTCTAAAGAGCAGAAAGGTGGGTTTTCCAGACTTTGCAGGGAGGCCTGGGGAGGTGGTGCTGCTCCTGCCTTACAGGTTAGCAGGGGAGACCTGCACTGAGGCCAGGCCTCCAAGCAAGGACAGAGGGGCCCGACTCGGGCCCGGGGGACCTGCGGCACACCGGGCTCCTCAGCCTCCTGCTCCTGGTGGTGGCTATCTGCTTCTCCAAGTCTCTGCGCACTCAGTCAGCTACTTAGAGGCAACCCTGTGTGGAGGAGAGCTCTGCTCCGCCCGTTCAATGTTGCGGCAGGAGATCTCCAGGCCTTTCCCCCTAGGCACCTCTGGGTGGGGGGGGCAGGACCTCTAACCTTTGGGTCAGTAGCTGAGCTCATAACTTGTTTGTCCTGCCCAGTCGGCGTCTCTCGTGCTCCCTGACCCTGGTTTTACCAAACGTGCTGTCTTGCTCTAGCGGTCGGTCTGTCCTGACCAAGTGTCCGAGGCGAGTGAGACAGAGTCCCCCTGTTCTCGCTTCTCAGGAGCACTCCAGTGGCGATCCTGCAGTGGAGGCGGACACCCGGGAGCTGGCTCCCCGCGCCCGCCCTACACTCACTCCTGCTCCCGCAGCGTTGAGATGATGCTGCACTCCAGGTTCCTCTCGTTTTCCAGCTCAGCACACAGGCGGTTGGAGGTGGCCTGGAGGCGCCCCACGGCGGCCCTGGGAGGGCAGGTGCAGGGGGGAGGCGAGAAAGTGGGAAAACAAGGTGCGCATCAGTAGTCCCTTGGGTCCTGTAGCAGAGGTGCACTCTAGAATCTCTCCCCCTCCCCACCCCGCTGTCTACACCATGCCTTCACCTAGCCTGGTTCTCGTCTCTCAGTGAGAAATTCATCTAAACACTCCCAGCATCCTTCATGGGCTCGGGGAGAACAGGCCGTGTGGCTCACAGCCTTGGGGTATCCATGGCCTGAGAGGGCGTGGGGCCCCACTAGAATACCGGCTCTTCATCACCTTAGCTCTGGGCAAGTCTCGCACTCCAAGGACCGGGGGAACAATTCTCTTGACTGGCAAGTCCTCTACATGGCAGGTGGTGCTGTCTCCAGCTCAGTTGTGTGTGTGTGTGTGCGCGCGCGCGCGCGTGTGTGTGCCTCTGGTGTGCATGTGTGCAAGCACACTTGTTGAATGACATGAGGGGTGGGGTGGCTCAGAAGCTGGGACAGGCCTCCGGGTTCCCAGTGGTTATGACCTCTTGACGCCGTGCCCGTTTTAACCTCAGAGCCTGTCCTCAGTGAGTCCACAATGGAGGCTCAAGGTGTGTAAACCTGCCTGTCTCCTGATGCCCTCCATGGTGTGATTGCCAAGGTCATGGGGCCATTAGCCCAGGGGGTTACATTCTGAGGAGACCCATCTGCAGTGGGGAGTGAGGGAAGACACCTCCTCTCAGCTTCAGCCAACACCCAGCACTCGATGCTCTGGGCAAGCAGGCGGGGCTGCTGAGGGACGGACCCTCTGCATCAGCGACTGGCAGTCTGTGTGTGGACGACAAGGACAGTGCCGGGAAGAGGGAATGGAGCAGCAGTGTGGTCCCAGCAGCTCTGCTAAATACCTGGCCAGTGGGATCCACCTGGGGAGGGCACTGGGCCTTTGCCACTGTGACATCGTGAGGCCCTCCATCCCCCAGAGTCCCTTTCCCGAAGCACAGAGCTGGGCACAGCCAGTGCCTGGGAGCTCAGAGTGCCACGCCAGGACCTGTTGGTCCCCTGTCTGAAGGTGACTCTGGGCTGGGAGCCCCTTGCCCCCGGACCCGAGTTTCCTCTTCTGCACGACAGCGATGACCGCAGAAGGCTGCCATGGGGACCCCGTGAGCTGAGGTGCACTGTGTGTTGAGTGGGGATGACTGGCCCTCCCGCCCTCACTCCCTCTGGCTGAGACCGGGCTCCTAGTGGCCCATCCTGGCAAGCACCACCTACCCTGCTGCCCCAGGCAAAAGCAGTTCTAATGACTTCTCCCCAGCCCTGGCCACCACCCCAGTCCAGTGCACCCGGGCCTGTCCCTTGGCCTCACTTGGCCCAACCTGGCCCACCCCATCTGTCCCTATGCCCTTGCTGAGTCCTGCCCTGCATCTGTCCCTGCTTTGCCCACTGTGCCACCACACCCCGCCCACCACACCTGGCCCCAGAAGGAGCCCCGTGGTGGCTGTGTGGCCCACTTGGGGGAGGCGTCTCCTGCCCTGCCTCTGCATGCGCCTTCCTGCCGCTCAGGGCACTCGTTCCCGAGGGGACTGCCCGGTGGGCTAGCCTTGTCACTTAGAGTCATCTCCTCAGTCACCCCGGGGCTTATTACCCAACTTCCACCTTCGTGGTCCTGTTCCCACACTGGCACGAGGCTGGCCCAGCCTGTCCGGGCAGTAACTGTGGGCAGCAGGTGGAAGCTCTGCTGTATCCATGTGAGCCAGTGACAAACACGGGCACGGCACCCAGTCACTTGGATGTACCACCCACCAGGCCACCCGGCCGGGTGCCAAGACCTACACGTTGTTGGCTTCCTTCTCCTGGGCTGCCTCAGTCACCACGGCCGCCTGCTGCCTGCTGATGAGACTGATCCGGTGACGGCAAGCACGTAGCTCCTCTCTGGAAATCAAATGTGAACCGGATGGATGGCCTCTTTTCCCAGAGCCTGCGCTGTGCCCGGCGTCAGGGAAGGTGTTGTGCCTGGGGTGGGGTAGGGTGTCTGGGGGCCAGGCTCTTGGAGAGTCTTTCCCCGGCTCCCCCATCCAGGACAGGGCTTCATCATGCCGTGTTCCAGGGGGCAGAGCAGTGTCCGGCCCATCTGCTTTCTGTAAACCCTGCTGCCGGGCCGCCCATGTAACTTCTGCCCCAAGTGGATGAACTCGGTACCAAGCACAAGGTCAGGAGGGGGCAGTTGATGGACCCGCCACGAGAGAGGGGTGTGTGGGAGGGACACCAATGCCCAGGTCGCAGCGCTCTGCAGCATGCTAGAATCACAGACCAAGGAGGACAAGCAACAGGCCTCAACTGTGTGGACAGGGACCAGGCGGGGCTCTAAAAGCCAGAATCTAGGGTTCTCGCGGGGACTGCCCTAGGACGCTGCTGCAGGAGGAGAGTAGAAAAGGAGGCAGCAGCGGACATCAGGCGGCTCCAGCTCACGGCCACCAGGTGCTCGCAGGGCTTTGTGGGGGCTGACTGTTTTTGAAGTCTATTGCCAGCCCTTTCCTCTAAGGCACCTCTGGGTAGACTTGCAAACCTTTCACTCAGCAGCAGAGTGCATCCACCGTTTGTACAAACCACGGGGCTTCCTGGATGCTATTGAGTAACATGATGCGTTTGCTGAAGCCGGCAAGAGGAGCCCTGGTGGCGGAGTGGTTACACGTTGGGCTGCGACCCTCCTTGTGGCCAGCAGTTTGAAACCACCACCAGCTGCGGGGGGGAGGGAGACGGGTCTTTGCGCCCCCATAACCAGTCCCAGTCTCGGAAGCCCACAGGGGGTTGCTGTGAGCCAGCATTGCCGGATGGCAGCGGGTCTGCTTCGTGTTTGAAAAGCTAACCGTGGAGCTGAGGTGAGACTGAGGCGCCCATGGTTCCGGAGTACCACGGTGTTTGCAACTTGCTTTCCAATAAAAAACTCACTGCCGTTGAGTTGGCGCCGGCTCACAGCAACCCTACCCGGTCAGGGACCAACTGCCCTTCTGGGTTTCTGAGACCACCACTGTTGACGGGGGCAGACAGCCCGATTGCTTTCAAATACAACCGCAAAAATAAATCGCAAGTCATCAAGTCCCGAGAAGGGGATGTCCTGCACGTGCGCTACCCGGGGAAACTGGTAGACAGGACAGAGTTTGACAGCAGCCTGCCCCCAAACCAGCCGTTTGTCTCCTCCCTTGGCTCTGGCCAGATCGTCAAGGGTTGGGACCAGGGGCGGCTGGGGATGTGTGAGGGAGAGAAGCAGAAGTTGGGGATCCCATCAGAGCTAGGATACGGGGAACGGGGAGCACCCCCAAAGATCCCAGGCGGTGCAACCCTGGCGTTGAGGCGGAGTTGCTCAAAATGGAGCGGAGAGCTGAACTATAACCAAGTGACTGGGGCAGGGCAGTGGGGTGGGGGGCAGCAGGAACCAACCAGACTGTTTCAAAACAAAACTAAACTCTGAAAAGCAAAAAACACATAAAAACTACATCACACTAGAACACACACAGTGTGGCGCGCAGGTACATACACCCACACGCCCACAGAAGCTACAGAGAAACGCTCATGGTGGTCCCAGCAGTAGCATGCCCACCTGGCCTTGCTAGTTGGTTTCTACGCCTGACATCCTCCTCAGTGGGCAGCACCCCGGGGGAAGCTTCTCTTGGGGTCAGCCCTACCCGAGGTGGGTGGGAAATGTGGCAGGACCCGCTGACCTGATAGTGAGCCCCAAAGAGGGCCGCCAGTCGGTGCCCGAGCATGAAGGTTAAGGCACCAGAGGTGCCCCCGAGCCCCCATCCTGTCTGGAGAGCCACAGACAGGGCCAGTGCAGGCGTAGGGAGCCCAGCAGCCACGCTGGGCCTGGGAGCAGACTCCGGGGAGAGTGTGGGACGGTTCCTGCTGAGAGTGATGGATCAGAGGAAGAACAAGAGGGCATGACCACCCTGGACACCGGCTGCCTGCTGCGTAGGATGTGCTGAGCCTTCCCCCAGTCCAGAGACGCACGGAAGGGCAGGAGACGCCCTGGGTGGGCTCTCAATCGCTGCCATGGGCTGTATTATAATAAAACCTTGTGCCAAGGGGAGCGGACAGCCCCTTGGTCTCCAACACCCCTGCACGTTGTGAACCGACACCCCCTATGGCGAAAGCAGAGAGGGAGGCTGGGCCAGGGGTCGTGGAGGCTGGGCCAGGGGTCATGGAGAGCCTCTAGCATCACAGGTCTGAGGGGGAGGCTGAGAGCTGGCTCACCTCGCTTTCTGAAGGGCAAGCTCTTTCTCGTTGTGCACCGTGTCGAGGTAGACCAGGTCCCTTCTCAGGCGTAGCGCTTGGGCTCGGTCTCGGTCTCTGTGGGCTGCTTTCTTGGCACCCACATTCTGTTCTCTCTCTGGGCTTGAAATAAGAACACCACAAATGTCATTTGCCCCATTGGGCCTTGGTCCTTCTCCTGGGGCCTGACAGGCCTGGTGCGCCCCAGGCTCATGCCCTTTGCGAGGGAGGCGGAGGTGGGTGGGCAGCAGCCGGCTGCCTGGGGCAGGGGTGGGGGGCACTGATTACCAGCAGAGTTCCAGTCCAGCATCACAGCTCGCTGCTTCGTGGGGAGGGGTTCCAGCCTCGAACTCTAGACCCTCTACTCCACCCGAGCCTAGAAATCAAGGCAAGAGTCAGAAGAGCAGCACGTGTGTCCTCAGGTTCCACCTGGAGGTCCAGGATTGATCCATGCGGTGAACTGCACTCGTTTATGGCAGAGAGACCAGTCCCGGGAGGAGGACGTCATGCTTGGTGAAGCAGAGGGGCAGCGGGAAAGGGGAAGGCCCCCCGATAAGATGGACGGACACAGCGGCTCCAACCAAGGGACAGCGGTGAGGCTGGCTCAGGACAGGGCAGTGTTTTGTCCTGTCCTACTCTCCCAGGGTGGCTCTAGTCCGAGCAGACTCCACAGCACCTAGCAAAGCACGCCAAGGACTGGTGGCCTTTCGCCTCCATTCTTAGGAAAGCAGCCGGAGAGATTTCCCCCTAAGCCCTAAGGAGTGACCCTTACCCCCGTTTTCTGCCCCAGAGGGCTTGTTTGTTACTTTTGTCCATGTGCACTGACATTTCCTAGGGAAACGGTAAGCAACTTGGTTTGGAAACTTTTTCTCTGGTCCTGGGCTGCAGCCTGCCCTATCCAGGGTACTGACCTTGCAAGGACTGCTCGATTAACTGTGCAAATGAATGGAAGTGATGGGCAGCTGGGGCCTGGCTCTGCGCTCCACCCCCTCTGCCACTCAGTCAGGGGTTCAATAGTTTTTTCTTTAAAGGGGCAAGAATGTAAGATGCCTTAATCTTTAGTTCATTTCTACTTCCTTGAAATTTCCATTTTTCATTGTTTCCTTTTGCAGTGTAATTTCTATTATAATAAACCGCAGATCACAGGTAACTCTGTGAGGAAATCTATGTTACTGGACATGACATTAAAATACCTCTCGGGGCAGGGATCTGAACAAGCCGTTGGAAAGGGCACTGGTTCCTGTGCTGGGTGTCAACCACCAGTGCAGGTCCTCCACAGGAGCCTTGAGAATGGGAAGCCATAATGACAAGACCAACTCTTGTGATGTTCCCAATGACCTGTCACAACCCCCCGGGGGCAACTGGAAACGCAGAAGTGTATAAGTACTGCCATGCTATTGGAGCGGAATTCCTCACTTACCTGGGTTAATTTGGGGGGGTTGCCACCCAGAAATGTGTGCATGTGTTCCCACTTGGAGCTCACCCCCACCCCTACCTGGACCATCCTGGCCTCCTCATGGGGTCCCTGTCAGCTGTCCCCTAATGTCAGAAAACTTCTATCTGATGATACGGTCATGAGTGTTGGAAGTTTATATCTATATTCATAGGACAGGGGACCAGAGGCCACTCAGACCACCACCCCCCCTCATGTCCTGTGGCTTCTTTCTGGTCCCCTCAGGGGTCTTTTGGGGCCACATCCTCTCCTGTTGTATGGAGACCCACAGGGAGTTCTGGGTACATAGCTGGTGCAGAGGGATGCAAACACAGAAAGGTAGGCCTTGCTACTTGGCCTCCCAGTTTTTCTTTAATGCTGAGTTAGGCTGTACAGGAGGTTGCAGAAACAAATTGGACTGAGTTTTTTGTTGTTGTTGTTGTTTTTTTAACTTTTCTATTCCTTTGGTATTTGGGGGTCTTAGGGGATGGCACTTGTATTTATTGTGACTCTCACGTTTTGATAATAAAACATGTTTTTAAGAAGTGTTTGGCACCAAACTGGGATGGATAGTTCCAGTAGGCTAAGACACTGGAATGGATAGTAGTGCCTTCTGTCTTGAGGTCATTCTAGAATCTCAAGGACAATAAAGACATGGATTCTGGGGGAAAAACAACAACTATGCAAATGAGCTAAGTTGTAGCCTACTATGCAAATGGCATGTCTGTGGCCTACCAAGAGGTCTATCTGCACATACCCCGCCCCACCCCCATCCCCAAATCCTCAGAGGCCACACCTTCTAACGGACGAGGAGTTGTGTACTGAAGCAGCCAACCCTGGGGAAGTTCCGGGAGACAGAAGGAAGCGGGCGAGAAGCAGAAGGAAGACCCGGAAGTTAGGGAGAGGCAAGCAACGGAAACGAGCTGCAGTGCAGGTCAAGGCTACAACGCTACAGACAGCCACAGGCCTGGAAGAGACGGAGACATAGTCCCCAACGCCACAGGCCCAGGAAGAGCCAAGGAAGCAGAGCCAGCATGGCAGTGGGTGCCGGGGCCAAGAGGAGGCCTGTAGGGTTAGTAGTTGCTGAGAGAGCAGTCTGTCCCACATGCATCCGGACCCCGACTTGTGCCCTGTTCCCAAATAAGCCACCTAACTGTCCGCAGGGTCTGTGAGCTCTGTGTGGTCAGGGCAATGATCATCACACCAGGAAGGGAAGCGAGTGTGCTGTGGGAGCAGCCATGGATGTCAGCATGGGTAAAGAAGATTGGAGAGGGTAGGCATAGCTAGACTGTACTTCACAGGGTTCAGTCTTGATACGCATCATTCCCCCCTCCGCCCACTGAAGTGAGACAAGCTCTGGCACGCCCCCGAGTGCTGGCCTATAATCCTGCCAAGTTCAGCAGATGAGGGCAGGTGCACCTTGCAGTAACAGTTCTCAAAGGGTAATCCACGGAGTCCCAGGAGGGGCACCCCACAGATGCTTCCGGGGACCTGTGGAGTCACAGCTGGCTTCATGATAACCCAGGGGCATCATTTGCCAGGCTCATTCTCTTGCCAGCGTGCACAGAGGGTTTCTGGAGGTTCTGTGGCACAGGATCATGGAACAGGAAAAAGGCAGATGCAGAGAGGAGAATCCAGCCGTGGTCTATTAAACCAGGCAGTAAGGAAATGTTTTTGCTCTGTTCCCTACATTGTTTTTTAACTTGGGAAATTATGCCTACGTTTCATTAAAAATACAGTGTTTGTTACATGTAATGGGTTCATTACTGTTATTTTAAAAGGACAAGTAAATACTTAAAACTTTTTTCAGATCTAGTTTCTAATATAGTCAATAGATTAGCCAACATAAACCCATGCTCTTTGGAGGGAGGGGTCTCAGTCATTTATAAGAGTCTAAAAGAGTCTTTAGACCAAGCCATTTGAGAATTGGTTGCCTTCAAGATGACTTCTATTGGGTTTGTCAACATTCCCTCAGGAGAATTCAGTAAAATATGACTACAAAGGAATTTTCAAAAGCACAAATTCCTGTGATGGTTACGGCTGTGCATCAACTTGGCTGAGTCATGGCTCTCTAGTTTGCCAGCCTGTAATGATGTAATCATCTTCATGACGTGGTCTGACGAGATCAGCTCTGATCTGATGTAAACAGATTAGAGTGGAATGCAGCACCTTCATCTGGTCTAAGTCTGGATCCCACAGAAAGAGTCTCCTAAGGTGTGCGGATTGCTTCAAAAACACAACCTTTGTCGCAAGGGCTCTAGCTTTTTGCTTGCTCTGGATCCTGCATCCACCTCTCACCACCTGACACTTGAGCCAGCAGCCTGCCATACCGCGTGTTGATCCTGGGATTCATTTGCCGCTTCTACCTGTGAAGTAGCAGCCTCCTCTCTTACCTGCCAATCTTTGAGGCCTCAGCTTCTGCAGCCTGTGACCCAGGAGCCTATTGTCTACCCTGCTGATCTTGAAGTTATCCACCCCTGCAGCTCTGTAAGTTGGGAGAAGCCTCGCATCTGACGTTTGGCCCATGGGCTTTCCAGACTCTACAACCATCTGAACCATTTCCGTGAGATAAAGCTGAATCTCTCTCTCTCTTTCTGTAAATGCTTCGGGTTCACTGATGTTGTTTCTCTAGAGAACTCAACCTAACACAGTCCCCAGTGACACAAAGAACAGAGAGAAAGACAGGACATGAGAGCAGCCCACAGACATTGCGATGATGGAGAGCTCACAGATGAGCAGCAACGGATCCAACAAGCTACGGAAGCTGAAGGGTGAGCGGGGTGCGGGGCAGTGGGGACCAGGGAGCTGAGTGTCCAGATGGGAACGGGCCACCATGAGCGTGCCCACGATGTGACCCAAATCAAGGCACTTTCTTAAGAACTTCAGAGACCAGTGATTTTTTTTTTTTCAAATCCAAAAGCTTCTAGGATAAGAGGGGGAAACATGTTTTTAGAGGCCACAGTTAAAGGATTAGGATATACCTGGCCCCGGGCTTCTCAGGAGGGATACTAGGATCTATGACACTATGTTCTGTCACTTTCAAAACTCTCACCTTCCATTTCATTCTCTTTCACGTAAGTCAGACGGACACAAATGCTCCTTCTCAGAGAGAGCAAGAGAAATGAAGTTCAAGATGTAGCTTCCATGCAGGAAGAGAATTAAGTTTTCTGTATTATCAGATGAAAATTATTTGTGAGAGTACCTTCAATATTGTTGTCCAAAATGAGGCCCTCGTTCATCTCTTCCTCAGAGAACGGGCCAAGGTCTTCTTCCATTTTGGGAGGCAGAAATCAGCTATGAACAAACAAACACACAAAATTTCATTCTTTCACTGCATACCTTCTGAAGGATGATAAAATGCAAATAGGACATATTTAAAAGAACAAACAAATATAAAGTGCCGGAAAGTGAAAACTATAAATTGAATCTCCTTGGTTTTTCCTTCATAAAATTTGCTAGCACTGAAACGAGTGAGCCTCCATCCCGAGCAACATAAAAGCACATGCCGGACGGCTGCAGGGCCGACATTTTTCGTACAAGCTAAGAGATAACCTTGTTGCACAACATGTACCGGGCATGATGTGTTGCATGCCAACATCTATCGATTGCCCACACTTCCATCTTCCCCATTTCTTTTCATATGTATATATATGTGCCCATGCCCTGCCCAGGTGATGCCAACCTACCCCCTTCTGCCAGGCTTTCCCTGACACCCTTTGAAGCAGACTAGTGAGATGCATGAAGAAACTGGTGAGGAGCTTTGGCCGAAGGTTTTCTTCTCAAATAAAGGGACAAAAGACTTGAAATGAGGACCCCATTTATCCCCTACCCCCAGCCTTTCTTGGGGTTGAATTGTCTGAAGCAGCCACAAGGTTTATTACTACACTCTCGAGGGGACAACAGGGGGACAAAAAGCCAACCTAAGGGCCCCCAGGGGGAGAACAGGAAGAACCGGGTCCCTGATAGCGTTGTTACGCCGTCACACAGCACTGGATTCCCTATCGTTACGTCTGACATTGTTCCGTGGCTTCGGAGATGTTTGCAGTCCCCTGCTCTAATTGGCTTAACCCCAATTCCAGGCCTGTGATTCTGATTAATGAGTGAAGGCCACAGAGTGGCCAAAGCCAACGAGACTCTGAGTTCTGCGACAGGGGGCGCTCTAGGCTGTGAATAGTATGTATGGTACAGGGGCGTTCCCATTTCCAGGGACACATCTTAGCTTATGAAGGGTCAAGTAAGTTTCTATGTTTGTGTGACCTGTGTAGGTGTTGCCTGATAAACTGTGTTATCAATAAGATCCTAGTCATATAGAAGATGGCACAAACAAAGCCAGGGATGGATAGGAGGAGCGTATGAATAAATGGTATGTGTGCACATACGTATATCATCATCGCTGATCAATACAGAAGAGGGTGGATTTAGAACACAGCTTCTTATCGACGTGCAAAAGGTCTAGTTGTTTTATGGGAATAATCTAGGTCCGGCTACAGTGAAGATATTATTCCACTGAAGTGATCCCTGGGCTTATCACCACGGAGCCTCTCCTCTGGGACTAACTTGCCACGTGGAAATACTCAGCATGTGCACCCTTGTGGGAGGAGATCGGCCTCACATCTGCTTGGCAGGCAGGGTTTGCTTGCCTCCAGATGAGAGACTAGCTGGATACTGACTTCCTTCATACAGAATTAAATATGCCCAGGCCAGGGAGACAGACCCAAAGTAGTGACTGTGTGGGTTATGTGCAGAAATGAGTCGTTTTCCCATCTACCCTAGGGTACTAGCACAGAACCCTCTAGACTTCTATTTACAGAGTGATGTGCTTTGGCCAAGTTTCTGTTGAAGGTTTTGTCTGTTCTGCTCAAGCCTAGCAGTACTGCAGGGCTGGAAACGGCTCCTCTGGAGTCATGGGTCCTTTTCCTAACCAGAGGTGCCCCCACAAAAAATGGGTGGCAAGCTTTTTCCATGGTCCACCTGGAGAGCTTTGGAGAGTGCTCACTCAAGTGGGAAAGACCAAGGAAGAACAAGGCTTTTATGGGTGGGATTTACGAGGGTAACCCTCAGGACAATGATGGGCTCTGTTCATCTCGGTAACATCCATTTTCAATAAGTTCAGTTTGGTACAACCAGTGGCCTCATTGTAAACGAGGGGACCACTGCTGTTCACAGTCAGGGCAGTGTGAGCTATCTGCGAACATCTGGGCTCCAGGGTTAAGGCGTCGGTGTGCTAGCACTGTAGGAAGGTCAGCTTAACCTGGTAGGGCCCTCTTGAGCGGGACCCAATGACGTTTTCTGGAGGGGACCTCAACAGGACCCAGTCAGAAGGAAAGTAGCTGGTGGTGAGTTAGTTGGAAAGTCCAGGTATGCTAGGCATGCTTCATAGACCAGGAAGTTCCCTTTGCTATTAAATGGTTTTCTACCAGCTGTTTACATATTAGTCGCATGAAATTCTAGAGGTGCTGAGATCATCGACTGCCAATGCATGGGCAGCCCTCCAAGTATCTTTTCTGCGCCACAACGCTGGGCTATACCCCACGGCCCCTGCAGCAGTACACCGCAAATTGAATTTCTTAGAAACTGGTGTTGTCGAATAAGTGCGGTTCTGCTAAGTCCAATCCCACTGAGAGGCATTCAAGGAGACCAACCTAATTCTAAACACAGGCAAGTTCGTGAACTGGAAACTCAAATGTTACCAAGATGCCAATCCTCTCCAAATCGATCCCCAGATTCACTAAAACTCCTATCGAAATCCGACTCTGTGAGTCTGTGTGAGCGAGAGAGACAGAGAGACCTGACCAGTAATTAGAAAATGTAGATACAAGAGCGCAGGAATAAGAACAGCCAGGGCATCTTAAAGAACCAAGTGGAAGGGATGCCCTACCAGATATGAACACTTATACAATTAAGACACGACGGCGCTGTTGGTGGGGCAGACAGAACAAGGGCACAGGCCCTGTGAGCACCGATGCCACACGACACAAAAGTGAGGCTGTCCAGCAGTGGCGAGCACTCAGTCAACGTGCCAAGAACTGGGCACCCACCTTGAAGAGTAGCTTCACATGGACGAAAGGGTCACATGTGAAAGGCCAGACTCTTCTATGATGAGGGTTAGAGTTGGTGACAGGGTATTTCATGACCTCAGTTCACTGTCCTCAGACTCATTGGAGGGCCGGACTATAGTTCAAAAAAAAAAAAAAACGATGAACAAATTCCTATGCACACTGTGCATACCTTATTTTGAAGTAAAAAAACAAACGGGGCAAAAACACCCGGCGGGCCGGATAAATATCCTGGGCGGGCCGCATGTGGCCTGTGGGCCGTAGTTTGAGGACCCCTGCTCTAAAGTCTTTGGGGGGGGCGACAGAATGTCCGGCAGGCATGGTTCGCTCAGGTGATTCAGGACAAGGAAAAAGGGTTTGGGCTGAACTTGAAATTTTCAAGGAAGTTTGGAATTGTTTCAAAATCTAAAAACCAAATGCACACAGACCTGGCCCTTTCAAACGATGTTTAAAACCAGGTAAAAAAACAAACTGTATGGTTTAGGAATGCACACACAGGTGGGAAGCGAAAGAACAAGGACTTTAAGGTCACAAAAAGGCAGCCTAGGGTCAAGCAACAGGGGGTCTTTGAGTGCCGTGGGGTGACCCTTGGCGGTGGTAGCAAGGTTCTAGTTCTTGGCCTGGGTACTGGCTACCTGATGTTCTCTGTATGACCAGCCCTTCCACTGTACATGTGAACACACAGAGAACATGGCCCAGGGAATTCTTTGAAGCCGTGAACATCACCCAGCCAGGTCTGCTCTGTACCTAGCTCAGTAGCTGGCTTTTGGATGTTTAAGACTTTATTGCCAAATCAACGAATGTATGCAGATAAAACAAGTAATCATTTGTGGGAAACACAGTCTCCGAAGTCTATCTACTTCGGGAAACTTGCTATCCATTAAGGGCCAATTTAGAATGATTTGGGGGTTATGGGTAATCTCTTCCTCCCAGGGGCCATGCTTCAATTTTTTGTTTTTCCCAGTGTTTTCACCAGCGTGCTATCAACTACCTTGCTACACCTGTTCAGAAATCAGGAGCAGAGCCCTGAACTGAAGCTGCCCACTGCTCCCCTGAGCCCCCAAAGGAACCAAGCTAGGTGTGGTGGCGCTGATTGGGACTCAGGGCGACTCCACGCGTGTCGGAGGAGAATTGCGCTCCACAGGGGTTACAAGGGCTGGTTTTTCTCAAAGCACCTTTGGGGGGCTTGAACCACCAGCCCTCATTTAGCCGCCCTGTGCATTCACCCTTGGCGCCTCCCAGGGAGTCCGTAAAGGAAGCAGGAGGAGGCAACAATGTATTCACAAAGTTATTTCTCTTGCAGCATCTCAGTGGGGAAGGGGTCATCTCACCGTGACTGAGTTCTGTCTGGGGGCGGTCCTGGGCTCCCGCCCACGCCACCCACCTCTGCGTCGGCCAAGCCTTGGCAGGCAGTCGGCTCCTAGTCGGAGAAGCCCCTCGGGGGACCCCCTTAGGACAGGTGTTGGCCCTTCAGCGACCACGGTCTCTCGGGATCCACGGGCCCTCGGCGACGATGGCTCTTCAGGGACAACGGTCTCTCCGCTGCAGCGCTCCTAAGGCGGGCGCTGCACTGTTGGGTGAGGAAATCGCCCTGGCAACGGAAGACTCCATCGTCGCGTCCCGTCCCCCCCAGGTCAGGAGGATGGTTCATCCCAATGGGGGCGGTGCCTCCCGCGCAAGCGCAGGCGCAAACGCAGACCTGGGGTCAAGCCCTGCTTCCCCCGCGGTGATGGATGGATTGAAAGCTGTGAGATGGCAGAGTCGTTGAGGGTGGGGTGGGGTGGGGTGGGGTGGGGTGGGGTGGGGGTGGCCCCGGTGAGAGGCCTCGTAAGTGTGCCAGCGGAGATACCAGCAGCTGCCTGGAAGGTGTGAATTCCTGGGGCCTCTTTGCGAGCTGTTGCAGGTGCCCCAGAATCCAGACAGCGTATGTGTATGTTCATCAGGTGCCCCAGAATCCAGACAGCGTATGTGTATGTTCATCTGGCCCAAGTCATAAAGCGTGGATTAGTTTCCAACTGTGAGAAATCAGGAGTGCCCACATAAGATTTGAAATGCCACGCTTCTCTTTTGAAAATGGAAGAGATGGTACAATGTGGCTGAGTGCCCATGACCTACTAGGCCAGAGGTGAACGCAAACGGAAACGTCAGTACACCATGGAATGCTCCGCGGTCCACACCATGCCCTCCTGCAGCACAGGGCACACCTGGCCCATGAGCGTGTGCATTTGCAATGGAGCTATGTGGGTGTAAGAAATGAGAGTGGGGAGGCAAAGGGTATTTATAGAGCTCTCGATAAAGACATGTACATATACAAATATATTATATGAGGATGGGGAAATAGATCTATGAGCCTACATT